CCTGGCTATGATTGAGTCATCTCCTGTGAGCCAAAGTATATGTCTCCACTCCTGCCATTTTGGAATGAAAGCTTTCACTATCGGCCTTGAGGCATATCCTTGCGCCTTAGACATTCGACTTTACAACCTCTAGTCGCTCCAGCAAAAGTGTGTTTTCTTGTAGACACGTAATCCTAATGTCGATATTTATGTGACTATCTCATGTTACTGCTACCAATACTTCTACTATAACAACGCTAGACACTGCTGCCAGTTACTGTCGAGAAACTAGCTGTTTATTAAGCAAGACAACACGCAGAGCATTAAAGCTCCCTCTCCTCCGCAACAGCTGGTGCCTCTTCCCCAGGATACAGCCAACACACAGGGTTCTTCTTTAGACTCGTCACGTCCATCTTGTGACCGAAGAGCTCTCGAATGTTACCAATACCGTATTGGATCATGGTGGGCCGTTCGACCGAAAGACCCCAAGCGATCACCGATACATCCTCAGGGATGCCCTAAGAACAATTTTCGACTTACCCGGAGTGTTCACAAGGGGCCTACCATAGGTCGGACCATCTCCGGTCGGAAGATACCAGAATTGCCTATTTCCACCCACTTGTCCAGCATTGGGTGGAAGGCAAATATTTCCATGCTGGGCTCAGTGTAAGGATTATATGCTGGCTTGAAGCGGAGATCAGTGAGGCCCATACGCCGGAAGAACTCCCGGATGACCTTCACGACAGGAGGCAACAGATAGGAAGAGATGGCAAGCGTTTCCTTACTCCGATCAAATTGCCGAGAGTGAGATTACGGTCTGCTACGAAACCTTCCACTTGGTGGAACTCAGCGAGATGCGTCGCATCGAGAGTCTCATTACGAAAAACACGATCAATAGAGAAACACTTCTTTGGCCTGACGAGGACATATTAGGAAAACGACGCTCAGGAAGCTGCTTACTTGAAGACACCAGTACGGATATAGTCCTGTCCCATCTCGTAGAGAACACGGGTGCTAACGGCAGTGGTGTGGGTCCTGAG